GATGGAGAAAGACACCAAGATCAGCTGATGGCAGAAAGTAAAGTCAAGCTTGGTGGAAACACACAGTTTAGAATCAAAGGAAGAAGGTTTGTGTCTCCAAAGCAGATCAGACATCAGGATTCAAGATGTGACAGAAAAGTAAAGAATGTGGACAGTGGAGAAGAAAAACCAGATGTAGTTTATCAATCTGATGAAGATTAATCTGAAATAAAATCTCCACTAAGTTGTCCAAATAAAACCATGTTTTACATCTGGTCTCTGTTGGTGTCTCTCAGTTAAAGGAGGAAGAACTGAAGCAGCAGCAGCAGCAGCAGAGGAGGAAGGAGGCTGAAGAAACGATGGAGAGCCTGAAACAGGAGCTGCACGGGAAGAAACAGGAGGTTAGATGAACATTCATGAACTATGGTCACTAAAATATCAGGTCCAGATGGAGTGGAGACCAAACCAGCATCTAAACCTTCTGGTTGTCCTTCCAGGTTGAAGACAAACAAACTGAGGTGGAACATCTGCAGGAGGAGAAGCAGAAGATCAGAGATGATCTAAAGCCTCTAAGGGAAGCTCTGGACAAAAAGCATGCAGAGGTTCATTTATTAGTCTGAATCCATCTGTATTTACTGACAGACCTGAACATCTACGTCTAGTTTGATTCAATCAGTGACACATATTCAGTCCATTGACTGTAAATCACATGATTAGATTGTATGATTCTGATTTTGCTGCAATCTGATCATCATCTCTTTCTTTTTCTCTCCTCCTCATTCACAGCTGGAGACGATCACAGATCAGTTATCCAAGGCTCCTGAGTTTACTTTTCCCTGGGTATAAATTCACTCTGCTCTGAATAGCACCACTATGAGAAAACACATTTAATGATGAACCACAACACAAATAGGTTCAATGTTAAGACGTGTCTGTTTCATTTATTTGATGTTTGCATGAACAGATCAATCGTTGAACCCTGAATGACTTTAACAAAGTCAGAGAGCAGCAGAGAGATTCTAATATTCAGTAAATCACAGACAGGAAACACTGAGGGCAAATGTTTCTGCTGGAATCCTAAAGTTCTCCATGAACATAGCAGGATTACTCACCTGTTATTCAGCAATTATCAGAAGATTGATTTATTTTTATGTTCAATCATGTGTGTTTATATATTGCAGAGTGATGCCAGAAAAGAAAAAGAGAAGAATCAAGAATCTCAGAAGACAATAGAGATGGAAATAGAAAACATCAACAAGCAGCTGAACACCAAGACGATGGAGTTCCAGACCAAAGACAAGAAGGTTCATACTTTCACATTTTCAGAATCCTACTTTTTGTTCTCCATCCATCCATCCATCCATCCATCCATTATCTTCCGCTTATCCGTGGTCGGGTTTGTGGGGGCAGTAGGCAGAGCAGGTCATCTCAGACCGCCGTACCCCTGGCGGCACTTTCCAGCTCTTCCTGGGGGATCCCGAGGCGTTCCCAGGCCAGCTGAGAAATATAATCCTTCTAGCGGGTTCTGGGTCTGCCCCGGAGTCTCCTCCCAGGTGGACGTGTTCAGAAGACCTCCAGAGGAAGCCTTGCCGGAGGCATCCGAATCAGATGTCCAAAACACCTCAACTAACTCCTTTCGACACGAAGGAGCAGCGGCTCTACTCCGAGCTCCCTCCGGATGTCTGAGCTCCTCACCCTATCTCTAAGGCTGAGCCCAGCCACCCTGCGGAGGAAGCTCATTTCAGCCGCTTGTATCCGTGATCTCGTTCTTTTGGTGACAACCCAAAGCTCGTGACCAAAGGTGAGAGTTGGGACTTAGATGGACTGGTAAATTGAGAGCTTCGCCTTACGGCTCAGCTCTCTCTTCACCATGACAGTCTGATACAGCGCCCGCATTACTGCTGATGCCCCACCGAGCCACCTGTCCACCTCGCGCTCCATTTTCCCATCACTCGTGCACAAGATCCTGAGATACTTAAACTCCCTCGCTTGAGGAAGCAACCCCCCCCCCCCCCACCCGGAGGTGGCAAGCTACTTTTTTACTGATCCACTTTTTGCTCTCTGTCATCTAAAATCTTTATTTTCTTCTGACTTCATTGATTCCAACATTATGTTGAAGCAGAATTCTTCATGTCCCACATCAGGAAGTCACTCTGAGGAACCAGAGTCCCAGAAATGACCTTTTTATTGAACATCTCTAGTGAGCTTTTTCCACTTCAGTCTCGGTGCTACAATTATCAGTGAGCTTCATCTGGTCTCAGTTATATTT